ACTGTTAGTGCGATAAAGAGATTGAAGTGTTCACCTTGCCAGCCGATGAACCAGAGAAAAGTTGAGGTACAAGAATTCAAGAATTTTTTTGCAGGGTTGCCACTAACAGTGTGTGGTTTATATGCGCAGGTTCAGAATTTAGAGTATTTTAATGGATTAAAATGATTCAAAAGACTTCAGAGGAACATTATGAAACAAACTATGACACAAAGTTATATAATATGTAATCAGTTCAGAGAGGCATAGAATCATACAGCATGGAAACAGACCCTTCAGTCTAACTAGACCACACCAACCATGTCCCCAAACTAAATTAGTCCCAACTGCCCACATTTGGCCCACGTCTCTCCAAATCTTTCCTCTTCATGTACTTATCTAAATGTCTTTAAAACTGTGTAACTGTATTTGCATCCACTACTTCCTGTAGCAGTTCATTCCCCACACTAACTACTGTCTATGTGAAAAAAGTTACCCCCATGTCCTTTTTAATTCGTTCTCCTCTCACCTTAAAAATGTCTCCTAGTTTTAAACTCCCCACCTTAGAGAACAAACCTTTGCTATGTACCATATTGATGCTTGTCATGATTTTATAAACCTCTATAACATCATTCCTCAACCTTCTACATTCCACTGAAAAAAGTTCCAGCCTATCCAGCCTATTTTTGTAACTCTTACCTTCCATTCCCAGCCACATCCTGGTAAATCTTTTCTAAATCCTCTCCAGTTTAATAATATCATTGCTATAACAGGATGACCGGAACTGCACACAGTACTCCAGAAGAGGCCTCACCAATGTCACGTAAAACCTCCACATGACATCCCAACTCCCATATTCAATGGTCTGAGCAATGCAAGCAAGCGTGCTAAATGCTTTCTGAACCACCCCATCTACTGAGGTACAAATTTCAAAGAATTATGTACCTGACCCCTAGGTCTCTCTGTTCTACAACACAATCAATAACCTAAAGTTTGGTCAAAGACACGTTTTAAGGAGTACCTTCTAAAACTATAGAGGTAGAAAGGCCGACAGATGTTTGTAGGGTATTCTAGAGCTTAGGACCCAGGCAACTGAATGTGCTGGAGTAATGACAATAAGGATGCTTTAGAAGCAGGATTAGAGCAGCATATGTTAATATGGAGGATTGAGATGCTAGAGAAGATTACAATAAGAGAAGGATGTGGCCACAGGGAGATTCAAAAACAAGGAGGAGTTTTTAAATATCAAGAAGAAGAGTCAGTGTAGGTCTGTGAGCGCAGAAGTGATTGAGTTAATCTATGGACTGTAAAGGACTGGGAGGACTTGTGTATCCAAGGAATTGATGTAGGAGGGAGGCCTTTAGATTCCTGGATCACTGGGTCAATTTCTGGGGAAAGTGGGATCTGTACAAGTCTGACAGTTTACATCTGAACCATAAAGGGACCACTTTCCTCGCAGGGTGGGGGCTGCATTATTGCCGGTGCTATTGCTGGGGTCTAAAGCTAATACAGCATGGGTATGGGATACAGATTGAAAATATAATAGGGTGTAATGCACAGACAAATATAGAAGAAAAACCAAGTCAGAGTGGTAGACAGACCATATGTAGTCAGGTTACGGCACAAGGAAACATAGCAAGATTGGCATTTATTTTAATGTTAGGTATCTTGCAAGTAAGGCAGAGGAGATGAGGGTGCTGATTAACACATAGGCATATGACATTATTGACAGAGACATGGCTGAGGGAGGGATAGGACTCATCAGCTCAATATTCCAGGGCACAGAATTCTCAGGAAAGACAGGGACAGAAGAAAAAAAGAGGTGGAGTCACAATGTTGATCAAGAAATCAAATATGGCAGTAAAGAGAGGTGATATCTTATAAGGTTCCTCAACTGAGGCCATACGAATAGAATCTAAACACAAAAGTGAATAATCACATTGATGGGAGAAAACTATAAACCTCAAATAGTCAGGGAAAGGTAGAATAGCATTTAGGTAGGCAAATTCCAGTGAAGTGTGAAAATAGTCACGTAATAGTAGAACATTCTAACTTCACCAATATTAACTGGGAGCAATATAGTGTGAAAGACTTACAGGAGGTCAAAATCTTAAAATGTGTCTGGGAGAGATTTCTAAGCAAGCACATAGGAAGTCCTACAAGAGCTAATTCTAGGGAACAAAGCTATGTCAGTGGTAAATATGGCAGTGGGGAGCATTTCAATGACAGTGACCATAACTCATCGAATTTAAGGTAGTCATGGAAAAGGACAATCAGAAATAAAGATTCTGAACAGGGAGAAAGTTGATTTGAACATGATAAGGCAGGATGAGGCCAAACTGGATTTTGTGTCGCTACTTGTAGAAAAATCTGCACAAGAAGTAGGAGTCTTTCAAAAATGAATTAGTGAAGGGACAGAGTGAATATGATCCTGTAAAGGTAAAGGGTGAGAGTCCAGAGAACCCTGGATGTTGATGAACATACATGGACTTCAGGAAGACTTTTAACAAGGTCTCACATGGGACACTGATCAAGCAGATAACAGCCCATGGGATCCAGGGCAATTTGGCAAGTTAGACCCAAAATCAGCTTAGTGGCAGGAAGCAGAAGATGGTGGTCCAAGATTATTTTTCTGAATGGAAGCCAGTGCCCAGTACCACAACACAAGATTTAGTGTTGGGTCCTCTGCTGTTTGTTGTGTACATTCATGTTCTAGATATGAATGTAGGAAGTTTGATCAGTAAATAGATGACCCAAAAATTGACTGTGTGGTAAATACCGAGGAAGAAAGTCCTCAACTGCAGGATGATATAGACGGGCTGGTCAGATGGGCAAGGCAATGGCAAATGGAATTTAATCGTGAAAAGTGAAAGTTGGTGCATTTTGGAAGGATGAACAATGCAGGGAATACATGATGAATGGTGGTACCCAAGGAAGTACAGAAGGTAAGAGGGACCTTAGTGTGCCTGTCCTCAAAGACTTGAACACAAGACAGATGGATAAGGTAGTTAATAAGGCAACTGAGATACCTGTGTTTATTGGTCAAGGCATTGAATACACAGGACAAGGTTCTGACAGAGGTGTATCAAATGTCAGTTATGCCACAGCTAAAGTACAGTGCACAGTTCTGTTCGCCACAGTATAGGATGGATGTGACTGCGCTAGAGAGACTGCAGAGGAGATTCGCCAGGACCCTTCCTAGGCTGGAGTGATTCAGCTATAAAAAGAGACTAGATAGAGTGATAGGGTCACACAGCATGGAAACAGACCCTTCGGCCCAACTTGTCCAAACTGACCAGGTTTCCAGAATTGAACGAGTCATGTTTTCCGGCATTTGGCCCATATCCCTCTAAACATTTCCTATCCATGATCCTGTCCAAATAACATTTAAACGTTATAATTGTACTCATCTTTACCACATTCTTTGGCAGCTCGTTCCATACACGCACCACCCCCTATATGAAATGTTGCCTCTCAGGTCCCTTTTAAATCTTTCCCCTCTCAACTTAAATCTATGCCCTCAAGTTTGGACTCCACTACCCTGGGGAAAAAAATCTCAGCTATTCACCTTATCTACGTCCCTCATGATTTTATACGGCTCTATAACATCACCCCTCAGCCTCCTATGCTCCAGGGAAAATAATCCCAATCTATCCAGTCTCTCGTTATAACTCAAATGCACACCCGCCCCGACCCCCCAGTCTCGGTAACATCCTTGTAAATCTTTTTTGCACCATTTCCAGTTTAATAACATCCTTCCAACAGCAAGGCAAACAGAACTGTACGCATTTGAATAGTGATAGTGTAGAGGTAAATAAGGCGTAATTGAGGGTCTCAGCAATAGACGCGTGAAAATAGAGATTAACTCAGATGGCTCTACAGAGGTAGAAATAAGCCATCTTGGAAATGGTGCGAATGAGGTTAAAGTTCGTCTGGGGTAAAACACGACTGGAAGGCTGCAAAGAGATTAGATCATGTTGTCAGGGAAAGGGGTGATTAAGGAACTAAGAAATGGAGTTTAGATCAGAGACCAAAAACAAAGGCTTTAGCTTTCCCCATTTTTAATTGTTTTCACACAGAACCATCAGCAAGCAACCAGATCAGAACATTACAACATTTAAAAGGCATTTTGATAAGTACATGAATAGGAAAGGTTTGGCAGGATATAGGCCAGGAGGAGGCAGGTGGAACTAGTTTAGTTTAGGATTGTGTTCAGTATGGACTGGTTGAACTGAAGGGTCTGTTTCCATGTCATATGACTGTACTACTCTCTGACTCTGTGTGCATTCACCCTGATGCGCAATTTTGATCAGCTAAAACACTTTTTTACTTTCTGAATTTCCAGATTCTATGATACCAGAAGATGACAGCTAGCGGATCACCAAAAAACTAAATAGGGCAGTAGGGGTGAGATGAGCTTCATTGATCCAGGACAATTTTAAACCCTTAAAATTGACCCTGGACCCATTTATTGAAAAGGGTGTTGAATTGTCTCAGAAATAAGTGATTAAGGGAGATCTGATTCAAGTATTCGAGCAAGGTTGTCTGTTTTTAACACCTGAGATTTCAAAGTCGAACTATTTCAAAATAGAACGAAAAAGAAAGTGCTGGTAATCTGAAAATAAAAACTTTAACAAAAATGTTGGAAATGGGAGAGCGTGTTAGTCAGGATTAGCATTATAGAATGAAAAGGGCTGCAACGTGACAAGGCTTTTCCCATTGCCAAGCTGACAATACCGACATGATGGGAATACATTTTAATAATGATGTCGCTGGCTTCAAACTTTCGAGAAGGAGAGCAGTTTGGGGAGGAGAAAGCTGCAGACATTGCAGCAGCAGTCACTGAGAACCGTGAGTGCTCTATACGTGGCACTCGGGGCAAGCAGGCTGACCGTTTCCACAACAAAAGTTACAACATCTTCCAAAAACAAAAATCACACACATACAGAGCGAAGGGAAGCAGGAGTGTTATTCATTCGCAGTTATAAGGCAAAACTTCACCAATAAAATACCCCAAAACAAACCTTTTTTATTCTTCTGGCAGTGTACAACCCGATGCCTTCTTGCACTTTGGACGGTTTCAAAGAGAAGCGATCGGGGACGTACATGCCGAGCATTTTGCGGTGGCCGTGCCCGCTGCCCTAAGCGCCAGGCCGGGAAGGAGTACAGTTAAGGCTCGGCCTTTCGGGAAGTGGCTCCCCTCAGAGCCCCAGCTGCCTGCTCTCCTGTGGAATAAACCACAGACTCCAGCGCTCTGATTGGCTCAGCCAGCACATTCCCGGCTCGACTTTCCTCCGGCAAAGCCGAGCTTTCAGGAATGTTTCAACACCAGCTCCTCAGCAAGCTTTCTCGAGAGTCACAGATACAGCACGGAAACACACCCTTCGCTCCAACTCGTCCATGCTGACCAGATATCCTAACTTAATCTAGTCCCATTTGCCAGCACTTGGCCTGTATCCCTCTAAAACCCTTCATAATCATGTATCCATCCAGATGCCTTTTAAATGTTGTAATTTTACCAGGCTCCAGCACTTCCTCTGGCAACTCATTCCATTACACTCACCACCCTCTGTATGAAAAAGTCACCCCTTAGGACCCTTTTTTAATTTTTTTCTCTCCCAACTTAAAACTATGCACTCTGGTTTTGGACTCCCCTACCCTGGGACAAAGACCTTGACTATTCACCCTATCCATGCCCCTCATAATTTTATCAATATCTGCCCCACCAAAGGACCGAACAGTCTGGATCACTGCTAAACAGCCATCAAAGATGCCTAACACTCTGTCCCCCGCCCACACTTTGGAAAATCAGATCACAGCACTATGTTCCTCCTCCCTGCTTACACGCAGAAGCTGAAACGGGAGAATATTTCGCAAAAATAAATACAGTACTGGTCCAAGGCAGTAGAAGACTGTCTCGGGGACTGTTTGGAATTCGTGGACTGGACCGTGTTGAAGTGTTCAGCGGAAAACTTAGACGAGTATGCCACTGCAGTCATGGACTTCATCAGGAAATTGGTGGAGGACTGTGTACCAAAGAGGTCAATCTGAGTGTTCACCAATCATAAAGTTTGGAAGAGGTTCCCTACTGAAGACCAGACGTGCAGCGTTCAAGTCGGGTGACCTGGACCAATACAGAAAATTCAGATACGATCTCCGCAAAGCCGTCAGGGAGGCCAAGAGGCAGTACCCAACCAAATTAGAGGGCCAATCCTGCCAAACAGACTCTGGCTTCCTATGGCAAGGCCCAAACAACATTGCGGGATACAAAATGAAGCAATGCAAGATGGCGAACAAAGACACATCCCTCCCTTGCATGCTGAGTGCTTTCTATGCTCGGTTTGAGCAGAATGCCAGGGGCGCGGTGTCATCTGCCCTGACAGCACCAGACACACCTGTTCCCTCCGTCACCACTTCGAACATCAGATCGGTCTTTCTGGGAGTTGACCCAAGGGAAGCGACGGGTTCGGACGGTGTCCCCGGGCAAGCAGTCAGATCCTGTGTGGGCCAACTGGTGGAGGTATTCACCGACACCTTCACCCTCTCCCTCCTACAAACTGAAATCCCTAACTGCTTCAAGAAAATCACCATCATCCCCGTACCTGACAAAGCACATGCAGAGTGCTGTAATGACTACCGCCCAGTGGCTCTGACATCAATAATCATGAATTCCTCGAGAAGCTGGTTATGGCCCACATCAGCTCCAAACTCCCAACCCGCCTCAATCCCCTACAGTTTGCCTACCGACATAACAGGTCCACCCAGGATGCCATATCCCTAGCCCTGCATTCATCCCTGGAACATCTGGACAACAAAGACACCTACGTCAGACTCCTGTTCATTGACAACAGCTCCACCTTCAACACCATTATCCCCTCCAGACTGATCTCAAAGCTCTATGACCTTGGTCTTGGCTCCCCCGACTGCAACTGGATCCTTAGCTTTCTGACCCACATACCGCAATCAGTGAGGATAGGTAACTGCACCTCCTCCACAATAACACTCAGTACCGGAGACCGCCAAGGATGTGACCTCAGCCCCCTGCTGTATTCCCTGTACACCTACAACTGTGTTGCCAAATTCTGAATGAACTCCATCTACAAGTTTGCTGATGACACTACTGTAGTGGGACAGATATCTAACAATGACAAGTCAAAATACGGAAGGGAGATGGAGGGCTTGGTGATGTGGTGCAATGAAAATAATCTATCTCTCAATGGCAGCAAAATTAAAGAACTGATCATTGATTTCAGAAAGAAAGGAGGAGAACACACTCTCATCTACATCAACAGAACTGAGGTTGAGATGATGAAGGGCATCACGTTCCTCAGAGTAACGATAACAGACAACCTGTCTTGACCTTCCCAAATAGATGCAACAGTCAAGAAGGCACAACAACACCTCTTGTTCCTCAGGCAGCTCAGGAAATTTGGCACACCACTAAGGTCCCTCACCAACTTCTACAGATGCACCATGGAAAGCATACTGTCCGGGTGCATAACGGCCTGGTATGGCAACTGCTTTGCCCAAAACTGTACGAAACTACAAAAGGTGGTGTGCACAGCCCAGAGCATCACGGAAGCCACCCTTCCATCCATGGACTACATTTGCACAGCTCTCTGCCCAGAAAGGTGGCCAACATCATCAAAGACCCATTGCACCCTGGTAATGTTCTCCTACAGCCTCTTCCATCAGGCAGAAGATACAGAAGCCTGAACATGTGCACCAGCAGGTTCAAGGACAGCTTCTTTCCGGCTGTTATCAGACTGATGAATGGACTCTTTAGCCTCAAATAACACTGGTCTTCCTAACATTGATCTTGCCTAGCTCACACCCTGTGCGATGTAACCTGTATGCCTCTGTCTAAGTTTTTTTGATCTGTACATCCTTTGCTTACTAAGATCTGCCTGTACTGAAAAACTTTACACTCTATTTCGGTACATGTGACAACAAATAAATAAATCAATCAGTCAATCTTCTCCAAGATCACCCCTCAGTCTCTGATGCTCCAGGGAAAATAGCCACAGCCTAGTCAACCTCTCAAACCATCCAACTCTGGCAACATGTTGTAAATCTTTTCTGAAACCTTTCAAGTTTCACAACATCCTTCCTACAGCAGGGAGACCAGAATTGAATGAAGTTTTCCAAAAGTGGTTTAACCAATGTCCTGTACAGCCACTACATGATGTCCCAACTCCTATATTCAATGCACTGACCAATGAAGGCAAATGTACCAAATATATCAATTCAGTATTCTCAGGAATCATTTCTTCTAAATGAGCACAGTTAATTTGCAAAATTAGAGAGTTGGAGAAATGTGCTGTGGAAATGGGTGCTTTAGATGTGAATGGATAAAATGCAGTATGTACAGATTTCATTACTAATATTCTCAAGGTCCATGGGAACTGGTGTCCGAGATTTACCAGGACTATCATAAAATAAATCTCGACTTATCCGTTACCTCATAGTGGTAGAATGAAATGAAATAACATCCAGCAATATACACAAGAAAGATTCAGTCTAAAGACAAGAAATTACAAAGAACAAAGAAAATTACAGCACAAGAACAGGCCCTTCAGCCCTCCAAGCCTGCGCCGATCCAGATCCTCTTCCTAAACCTGTCGCCTATTTTCCAAGGATCTGTATCCCTCAGCTCCCTGCCCATTCATATATCTGTCTAGATACATCTTAAATTACGCTATCGTGCCTGCCTCTACCACCTCCACTGGCGACGCGTTCCAGGCACCCACCACCCTCTGCGACAAACGACAACACCTCCCAGTCGCGAACCACATCAACTCCCCCTCCCACTCCCTGGACGAGATGTCCATCCTGGACCTCCTCCAATGTCACAACGATGCCACCTGGAAACTAGAGGAACAGCACCCCATATTCCGCCTTGGAAGCCTACAACCCAATGGTCTCATGTGGACTTTACAAGCTTCAAAATCTTCCCATCCCCGATCTCGTCCCAAGACCAGCCCCTGCCTCCCCCCCATCCCCGTTTCATTGACCTGTCCATCTTCTCTCCCACCTATCTGCTCCTCCCATCTCACTGACTAATCCCCACCACTGCCTACCTACACTCACCTTTACTTGCTTCATCCCCGCCCCCTTGACCTGTCCGTCTTCTCTGCCGTCTATCTGCTCCACTATCTACCTGCTATCACTGTCCCCCCTCTCTATTTATTTCAGAGCCCCCTTCCACTTCCCCACTTCTGAAGAAGGGTCCTGATCCGAAATGTCAGCTTTCCTGCTTCTCTGATGCTGCCTGGCCTGCTGTGTTCCTCCAGCTCCACACTGTGTTATGTCAGGAGCAAGGTATGTTTTCACATCTTATGCAAAATTTTGTGTTTCTCCACCCAAAGATCAAATGACATGATCAGATTGGGTAGAGTTGGGTGCCTCAGTGGTCAGCACTGCTGCCTTATAGCACCAGGGACCTGGGTTCAATTCCACAACTTGGGTGATTGTCTGTATGGAGTTTCTCCCTGTGTCTGTGTGGGTTTCTTCTGGTTGCTCTAGCTTTGCGTGGCACAGTGGTTAGCACTGCTGCCTCACACCACGCAGGACCCCAGTTCAATTCCACCCTCAGGTGACTGTCTATTTGGAATTTGCACTTCTGCGTGGGTTTCCTCTGGGTGCTCCGGTTTCCTCCCACAGTCCAAAGACACACAGGATTGACTGTGCTAAACTGCCCATAGTGTCCAGGGATATGTAGGAGATAGATTTGGGTGGGTGCTCTGAGGGTTGTTGTGGACTTGTTGGCCTGAAGGGCCTGTTTCCACACTGTAGGGATTCTATGATCTATGATAACTCTGAATCGTTACCTTATATAGCAGTCAATCATTTTGGAAACTCCTTGTTGTAGGTTGTACTAGTACCTAACCTAAGGCATGTCACTGTATTGTCCAGGTAAACTCATCCCAGATGCAACGTAATGTCTGCATATTGGGCTTCTATTCAGTCAGTTGAAGTTTAAGTTTGTCATCATGAAGACATTTCCTGCAGATATGGTTGTGTAGATATGCTGTTCAAAAACTCTCACCAGCTATACTTAAGAACATAGAACATAAGAACATAAGAACTAGGAGCAGGAGTAGGCCGTCCAGCCCTTCGAGCCTGCTCCGCCATTCAATAAGATCATGGCTGATCTTTTTGTGGACTCAGATCCACTTACCCATGTTCTCACCGTACCCCTTAATTCCTTTATTGTTCAAAAAAATATCTACCTTATCTTTAAAAACGTTTACTGAAGTAGCGTCAACTA